TGCAATTCTTAAAAACGCGCCAAGCAGTGGATGATTCTGCACATTTCCCATATTTTCTATTCCTATACTTTGTAAGAGAAGAGGAATTTAAATTTTTTTACTAGCCCAAAGGGGTGTCAACCCAGATGGGTTATTAGTCTCGAAATGGCATTTTGCATTGAATCACTAAAAGCATTGTATAACTTCAAATTGTCGCCACCAAATATTATCCTCCTCTATTATATTTAAAGAAATTTTTAAAGGCTGTAGTGTAGAATTGGGTGTCCCTTTGATTAGCAACAAATTTTCTTAAATTTTGGTGATGAAACCCGTTTCTGGTTATCATGTTAGTTTTAACTTGGTTTTACTTTCCTGATTTTTTTTTAGTGAAAATCGATCAATGTGTACATGGACAAAATCAAGGCAGTGCTCAATGCCAAGTTTGTGCAGTTCTCAGATGTTTCTTTGAAAAATAGGTCCATGTGTACATGGACAGAGTTTGTGCAATTCTTCGACTTCTTATTTTGGTTTTGCTTAGCAGGCACCTTGACATTGTGCCTTCCCGGTGCCAATCATGGCATAAAAAAAGAATCGCAAAAAAAAACAAGGGGTACCCAATAGTAAATTTTTATCAAATTAAATAATGAAGAATCTGCCTGAATGTATGTATGTATGTTTCTTGCATAGTGAAAAAAAACAGTACCTAGAGCCATCAAATTTTGAACAACATAATCCTCCACCCAAATATAAGCACCTGGAAGCTCAAATTAAGAATTTCGAATTTGTTGTATTGTCTATTTCATATTTTGGGCAACTTGAATGAATTTTCAATGAACAAAATAATTTCAAAGAGAGGAATGGCAACACCGCAAAGGAAAAAACATTTTTACCTCCGTGCAAAACTGTCTATTGGAAATTCTAAAAATAGACTGTTTTTAAATATTTTTAGCTCAAAGGGACAATAACCCAAATGCTCTCAAAATGTATACATGTACGTAAATGAAAAAAATTCTCCTTTTGGGCACAAAATAAAATCTGAAAGCTTTGAGGATTTTTTTAAAAATTTTTTTATTATTCTTTTCAGCTGATGGTCTGAGGTGCTGTAATTAAATTGTTTTAAATCTTGGAGAACTAGATTTTGGACGTTGTACTGCACAGTGTTTGAATTAGAAAGAAGAGGAAGAAAGCATTATATATATATATAAAAAAAAAGAAAGAAAATGTTTTTAATTTCCTGTTACTATTTCCGAAGAGGAAAGGAGCCTGCTCTTTTTTTATTTTTAAATGTAATCATAATTTTTAATAATACCTCTCCTTCTCCAAACTGACTTCTTGTTATCTGATCATTATAGCTTAGTGCATGCATACCTAATCAGTCAAAGTCGTTAATTAAGAGGAGGGGGGAGGGGGGGGGGGGGGGGGGGTGGGGGGACGGGGGGGAAAATCTGGGGAGAGGAGGCATTCAGAAATTATAAATAAATATGAAACCTAATTATAAAAAGAGCAATTATGACTGAAGGGTATCAAATTTCAAAAAAAAGCTAATATTTATTGTTTGGCGTTATTAAACCTTTTTTCCATTAAATTGTTAGGTGCTTGTTCATGTGGTCAACTTCTCTTTAATCTTTAAACCTCATAATTTTCTTGTTTAGTTACAAGTTTCCGCTGTGCAATCCTATAATTGCTATTCAGATCGACTAATTTGTCATCGAAATTTTTTTGTTTTCAATACCTCGAGTCACTTTCTTACTATCGGAAGCGAATTATAATGACAGGAACTTTATTTAAATCATCTCAAGACCGATGAAAACGAGATTAAATACTGCTTTAGTACGAATTATAGGCAAATAAATAAACATCTGCCCTGAAGAAAGATAGGCTGCCCGATCACCTTCCAAGTTCATTTGGCGCTAGAGAGTTTCGCCTCGCCCCCACAGAGCCGTGAAAGTGATAAACTTTTCGGAATGATTAGATAACAAAGATATGTCTTATCCATTATTTTGGCAGCAATTCCCTTCTGTTTATGGACACCTTACGAACATACTTCGGTTTGTGATCCGTTCATATTAGAATATATATCGAAATTCTATTTGACATATCGAATTTCAGCGTACTTTTCAAAATGTGCTCTAACAGTCTGCCACGAAAATAATAAGCCAATCCATTTATTCGAAGATTAGGACACGCATCTCAACATAACTGATTAGATAATTTGATCTTAGCTATACCGTCGGTTATACATTAACGCACATGCTACACGTTATTCGCACATAAAGTTTACACCACACAAATGCCTATGCGCATAAACCAATGAACCGACAAATGCGCAGACAGTTTTAGCTTTGAGGTCCGGATTCTAGATCATTCTGGATTATGGGTGTCCAAATTCACACCTTTACTGTATATATATCCTAATTTATTAGTTCCTTACATTTCCACTTCCCATTTTAGCCATATATACTTTAAAGTTAAAATTCCATGGGTGTTCTAAAATAAACCGTCGTTGATACATTTGCCCAAACATAATTATAAAATTAAAACATTTTACTGCATTTTTTACAATTTTTAAACTCATGCTATTTTTAATTTCTTCAGGCTTTTTGCAGCTACCTACTATTTGGACAATTATTTTCAAGAATAAAACAGACAGAAAAAGATAGGTGACAAAATCATGACAAACAACTGAAAAATGCATTAAAATCAGCGTCGTCGTATACTCTTATAGTGGTTTTGCCTGTTCATGAAAAGCAGAATGCATCCATACTCATAATTATGTGAAAAGTTATTTTTTCATCTTATAAAATCCAACTAAACGGAAACTCCTAACACATTAGATAAATTAGGTTCCCCTAACCTATACATATCTAATTCAAATTTAAAAAAATTAATAATAAAAAGAAGTTAAAATTTATTTTAATAAAACAACATAGAGCTAATTTTTATTTCAATTTGTTCAAGAATATTGCATGTGTGGCCCCCACAAATTTTTTTTTTCTTTGTGATGCAGCCCTCAAACACCCATGAGTTAAGCAATAGATGTATAGCTAGTCTATTCCCCCTGTTTATTTAATGTCCATTACATATGATATTTCACTACTTCAGATAATATGAATGAAGAATCACATTCCAATTAGGAATTTAGCATAGATGCTTTTCACACAAAATACATTATATTTGACATACCTGCATTTGCATCAGAAAATTTACTAAATGACAGGTCTTAAGTAAATAACAGGTCACGGGACTAAATAACAAGTCATAAGGCTGAAATCTTAATGTGTCTGATTATATGCATGCTTTTCCAGAGCATGCTTCTTTGACGCTACATTTTATATAAATCATTCACATAAACACTTATTGACATACTGATAAGTTTTCTCCATAAATGGCTCCATAAACATTTAAGGAACAAGTTGCTCTTCTTTTTAGAGGTTTGAAATCATAAATTACACATTCATGTAAATAACTAATTACACATATAACACACATAAATATCTTCTACAGCATGAGTATAAAAATCCTTTTGTATATGTCAATTTTGCATAAATGCCTTGTTATACACTATAAATTCTGCCACATATGGAATATGAAATCCTTTTCTTATGTTAACAGCATGCACATTAGCTATCTTTCCCTTGTGGATACTTATGCCTGTTATGTCAACTACAAACCTATATTGTTGCATGAAACACATATCTTAACACATTAGATTACTTTCCTTATTATGGATAAGCACATGTCCCACTAAATGTGGTTCACAGAGTTTCTCTCCTGTGTGTGTTTGAGTATGCTTAGCTAAATATGATTTTCGTGTGAAGGACTTACCACATGTATTACACACATGAGGTTTCTGTCCAGTGTGAGTAAGTACATGCTCACGTAAATGACTCTTCAGTCTGAATGACTTGATACATATGACACACATATGTGGTCTCTCTCCTGTATGGTGAAATATATGCCGTCGTAAATCACTCCTACATATAAATGACTTATCACACATATGACATGCATGAGGTCTCTCTCCTGTATGGATACGCATATGCATCACTAATGAATGGTTTTCTGCAAATGATTTGTTACATATATCACAAGTATAAGGCTTCTCTCCCGTGTGAATACGCAAATGCTTCAATAAATGCGACTTTCGCCCAAATGACTTGCTACATATTTCGCATACGTGAGGTTTTTCTCCCGTATGGACACGCGTGTGTACCACTAAGTGATGCTTATGTGCAAATGACTTCTCACATGTATTACATCTATGAGGCTTTTCTCCAGTATGAACAAGCATATGCTTCAGCAAATGAGACTTTCGTGGGAATGACTTTTTACACACATCACACATATGAGGTTTCTCTCCTGTGTGGATAGTCATATGCCTATTTAAATCTCCCTTTTTTGTATATGACTTATTACACATGACACATACATGAAGATACTTTGTTGTGTGGATACCCATATGTGCCATGAAATGTTGCATTGGGGTTAACAAACTTGATTTAAATATGATAGCTGCGAGATTTATCACCTATATAAATACTGAAATGCAGCTTTAAAGAAAATTTTAATACAAACCAGCTGCTATTACATAACGTGCACACAGTTCGTATGTTGCCTTGATTTTGACTAGTTGCAATTGTTCATATTTAGGAGACACAAAAGCACGCCGAGCTTCAAAAATACACAGTACCTTTGAGACAGCCTACTGCTCCTATTGGTCGCCAAGCGTGATGTCACACTAGAAGGACTGAAGCACCATCCCAATCCTCCCTGCGCGTTTGGAGATTTAGCGCCGATTAAGGAACTAGCCCTTCACTCTAATGAATAAAGTGTTAATTTTTCGAGTAAAGGCCGATAGGCAGAATACTTCATATTACCGTAATTCACCGTGAATGAAGTGCCAATATCTTCAGAGGAGGGCATAATTTTCGGTTCCCATAGCCCACAAGGGTAGACCATCAGATTATTGAAATTATGAAGAAATTAACCATACATTGCTATCATATCCAAAGAAAACTCGCAACAAAAGTACTTTCTTCGTCCTACAGGCAGAAAGACTTGCTGAACGTTTGTAAAATGTAATCATAACACTACCGAAGAAACAGAGGTTGAGGAAAAAATTTAATGTTTAACGCATGAAATATGTAGGTTATATTTTTCAGTTTATTTGAAACGGGATTTAGACACTTGATGACTATAAAAAAAATAGGATAATGAATGAATGAATAATCATTATTCATTTGTAAGAACGTGTGTGAGTGGTGAAATTATTGCACTGAACCAAGAGATGGTGGTGAAATTCATGTCATGTATTTCTGGAGGAATGGGGCAGTCTCCCATGAATTAACATTTTCACTTAATTTGATTGTAATAGGTGACGTTTATTTTCCCTCTATCTATTGCTCCTAAGAGAACACTGTAGTGAACTTCTGCCTTTGTTTTTAATAAAAGGATATTCTTTGTATAGCTTTATAATGAAATTCCTGTGAAATAAACAATTTTGTTCCATCCAGCAAGCATTTAGTTTCAAACGTAAGCTAATCATGTAAAGTGGAGAACAGCATGCTTTCAATGGATGTAATTGGGCATTTTCACCAAAGACGGTTTTAGAGATCCCTTCTCGAAAGGAATCTGGCACTACAGAATTTATTCTAAATTCTATATGTAAAAATGTGATTTTGAGAGACATTGAAGTATAGAATGGATAAATGTTATATTCATAATATGTGCAATAGATCATCTGCATGAAGATCCTGTTTGTAATACATTTACTTGAGAGAAATCTTATGTATATTATATATGTGTGATTTTGGTCACCCAAAAGTGTGATCTAATGGCACATGTACAAATGTCTACAACAGGAAAATCTTCTTTATCTTGTATATCTAATATGTGTGAAAAAACTTTCCAGCAGAAGTGTAATTTATTGGTGCATATGTCTCTGCATTCAGGAGAGAAACATCATGTATGTAACGTTTGTAAAAAGGCATTCATTCAGAAACATCATTTAGTGGAACATTTGCGTATCCACGCAGGTGAAAAACCTCATGTATGTGATAAATGTAATAAATCATTTATACGAAAGCATGATTTAATAAGACATATGCATATCCACACTGGAGAGAAGCCTTACGTGTGTGATGTATGTATGAAGCTATTTATATGAAAGCATTGTTTAGTTGAGCACATGCGTATCCATACTGGACAGGACCTTCATGTATGTCACATGTGTAATGAACATTTCATTAAAAAGCATCATTTGACAGAACATATGTATATTCACACAGGACAGAAACCTCATGTGTGTGATAAATGTAATGAAACATTTTCACAAAAACGGGATTTGATGAAGCACATGTATACCCACACAGGGAAGAAACCTCATGTATGTAACATATGTGATAAGTCATTCACACAAAAACGCAACTTGATGTTGCATATACGTATACATACGGGTGAGAGACCGTATGTATGTGATGTATGTAACAAATCATTTCGTCAAAGTTCTAACTTAATGGAACATGTTCGTATCCATACAGGAGAGAAACTTCATGTATGTGATAAATGTGGTAAGTCATTTACACGAAAGCGGGGTTTAATGATGCATATACGTTTACATACAGGAGAAAATCCTCATATATGCACTATATGCAATAAATCATTTAGTCAAAATTCTAATTTGGTGGAGCATATGCGTATTCATACTGGAGAAAGACCTTTTAAATGTGATAAGTGTAATAAATCATTCACACAAAAGCAGCATTTAGTGGAACATACAATGACACACACTAAAGAGAGACCTTATGTATGCAGTAAATGTACTAAGTCATTCACGCGAAAACATGATTTAACGGTGCATGTGTGTTTTCACATAGAAGTTGAATCTTTTGTGTGTGATGCATCTAGCAAATCACCTAAAAGTATTATTTCATAGAACATTTGGAATACTGACATGTACCTTCAGTAGTGACCTTGGCAAAATAAAACAGTAGCACAGTTTGGGATTGTGATTAATTTGTATGGAATATATCCATAAAATTCCATAGATGATAAATTGGCAATTCATTCTATAATTATGCAATGCAAATTATTTAATTTATACATACATAATAAATTTGTATTTGTTATATAGTATTTAATACAGTTTTATAAGCAGTTTATTTAATATAATTCAACAGAACTTATATATAGGTTAAGTAATTAATGGATTAACTATTTTAATGCAGTTATGTAAGAAACTTATTTAAAAAAGCATGTATATACATGCTGAAAAAATATGTTTATTGTTTTATTTAATACAATTTTGTTAGCAATTAATTAAAAAAAGGTTAACACAGCAGAAAATTTATTTTTTACAGACTCTAGTAGCAAGAGTTACATAATTGCTTCTAATAATGCCTCAGGCATCAACTACAGCTTCTTTTCCATTGTTGGGAGACTGAAAATAGTTCAGCAACTGTTGCTAGTAATACTTTGAACATCAACTATAGCTTTCTTTTATGTTGACAGAAGATTGAAAACTGTGAGGAGTAAGCATAATGAGTATTTTACGATGAAAAATTGCAATATTCACGCAATGCAATAGCAAATATACCAGTTAAATCTTGAGACAATCTTTCCTGTGTATGCACAGATTGGTTACCATTTATGTTTTGCCAGTGCAGAAATGCACCAAATCCACTTTTTCGACAAGGTTGCCATACAAGGCAAGTACCAAATATCTGTATGCAAGAGTTACCTTATGTACAAGATATATGAGCAAGTCGTTTATGCAAAGTATGTAATAGTTACCTTATGTACAAGATATATGAGCAAGTCGTTTATGCAAAGTATGGTATAGAGAGCTTTATATTATACATAAGTTATTTATTAAAAAAATAGAATATATGTGTCTATTAGTATAAATTAATATACAGGAAAGATATGTTTTTCGTTAATCTTTGGATTATGGTAACATGGCGGTTTTTTGGCGACCAACCCTGCTACAGCAACCTGCTAGTTTTGTTTTGGATGCCATTTTGTTTTCACGAAGTAAAGGCATGTTTTTTTTTTTTTTTACTCAACATTTTTTCCAACAATCTGCTAACCGAATTACACTTATACTAGAACTTTTATGGAACAAAAATGCTTAATCATGATGAAGATTAGGTGCGAAATTGGGAGAAAGTGCAGAATCACCCACTGCTTGCCGCGTTTTTAAGAATTGCACATACACGGTATCATCCATGTACACGTCGACCTATTTTCACTTAAAAAAACATCACAGAATTGCACAAAAATGGCATTGGGCACACTCTTGACTTTATCCATGTACACTGCTAAAGTCCTAGCTAGTAACCTTTATCGCCTTACCAAAATGTCGCCAAACTACCTGTTACCATATTCCAAAGATTAGCCATGTTTTTTTATTTGATTATGTGTAATAAATATTCTGTATATATAAGTGATTTACTAAGTTATATTCAAATATATGGGAAGTATTTGTTTTGTAGATGATACTAGCGTAAAATTAATGCCGGTGATTTTCTGCTATGATGAAAGAAACTAGCCAGTGGCTGATGTTTGGAATATGGAAACAGGTAATTTGGCAGTACCTTGTCAAGAAATAAAGGTTGCTAGCTGAGATGCCAGCAGTAACTTGAAAAGCACACATTTCCTATTATAGTTTATTTTGTCTTGGACAAATCAAAGGATACATCTGTGAACAAATCGTAGATCACGTAGACTTGTTGTGGGACTCTTTTATACTTGATAAGCATCTTACATGGTAGCCCCATATTAAACATATAATTAAAAAGTTTCAGAGCATGTAAAGCTACATTTTCCTCCTTAATTGCTTGGAACGGCATTATCTGTACTAAAAATGAAATACTCATCTGTAAGGCCATGTTGCAACCTGTTATTACTTATGTTTGCCTTGTCTGGGATTACGTCAGTAACACCTCAATTAAAAAACTTCAGATTACTCAGAATTCTGTTCTCAGGCAAACCACTAACTGCAGATGGTTCATGTTCAATGATGTGATTCATCGTGAGTACAATAGTGAGCAAATCAATGCTTACTTGACTAAACTTTCCAAGAATTTTTACAGAAAAATACCAAAAGTCCAAAATGTTAGTTTACCAATTCTGAGTTATGAATATCATATTAATAGAAATAGATCTAAAGCAATTTTAAGACTGTCAAGTCAAAATCAAGTTTAGCAAATCCTGTTTTTGTACATTACTGTACCCTCTACTTGTTTAGGCCTCCTTCTAAATTAGTACGATAATGAAACAAGGCTTCCCCCTGCCCTATATTTTTAGAGCCCATAACTGCTGGGTATTCTTTGCATTCCTTAATACTCACTTTGCTTCCTTCTAGCCTATCAGCACTGTTCATTTAAAAGCTTCTCCAGGTTTGCACTCAGTTGTATAGCAGAGCAGTCATGTAGTCTGAAACTTTTCATCAATGACTATACATCCTTTTTTTTTTTTTTTTTTTTTTTTTTTTTTTTTTTTTTTTTTTTTTTAATGGACCAGCAATGTCATAAAATGCTATAATTGCTATGATCTCACTGACTGAGTATTGCTCCTCTTCTCTTTACCTATGCTGGGCCAAATCACAAGTTGTTTCTGAGTGAGAGCCTGCCTTTTTTTTTCTTTTTTTTTCCGAATTGTGTTCACCTAAGTCATGGGAATGAATTGAGATTGTGTGAAAGGGAGGCTATTATAGTTAAGTTTGAATGCCAGTGTAAGAAATCTGGGGAAATTGAATATTTTATG